TAGGCTTGGGGGAGTGTGGAACCGGCTTCAGGGTTAGGCTTGGGGGAGTGTGGAACTGGGTTTTATGGCTGGAGAGGATGTGGCCAGAGTGCTGCGCCACAGCTGCCCAGAGTTACTGCTGATGAATAGTTGATTAGTGGCGCTGCTGCAGGGAGAAGCCCAGGAGAGAACGGGAGGGAGAACCACAGAGGGATAGAGAAAGAGGGGAGCAAAAGGAAAGGGGGAGAGAGGGAGACAAAGGGAGGTCAGGTGGGGGCCCTGACACGCTAACATAGTTAGCATAGCTCTGTGAAAGAACTAGTTCACATCTGGACCCAATCAACAGTGAATTAGCTGATAATATAGTTAGCATCTGTACCCAGTTAGCATAGCATTAGCTTAAGTTCTATTTACTATGTAGTGCTGGTGAATATAACAAAAACCACTGGATTAAAGGATTTCCTGTTTACGAATAGCTTACAGATAGTATGTGTCTGTGTTCTTTTAGCTTCGTTCTAGCTCCAGTGAGAATGCATCTCTTATTTGGTTGATTTAAATGCTGTGTTCAGATAGCTGATTAGTTCCTTATTATCTGAATTGACATGGTGATTTCCAAGGAGCACTTTAGAGAGAAACGTCACTAAGTTTATAATCTGTCATGTAGCTGCTAATGGCAGGAGGCTAGCATCAGCAGTGCGAGGGTGGGAAGGTGGAGGAGTTTAGTCAGGGCAAAGAGAGGTCTGAAGACTGGGGCCATGTGATCACAGTGGGGGAGGAGGTGGAAGCCAGAACTCTGGATGTATTTAAGTTTCTTGAGTGTCTTGGATGATGTCGCGTCGAGAAGACTGCATGTGATGAACGCATAGATGATTCAACTTATAGGGGAGGGATGGACGGAGGCGGCCAGTGTTCCTGGTGTGTTCCAGTAATGTGCTTGATGTGTTGGTCGAAGGAACAGCTCTGGTCAAAGATAAAGCCTGGATTTCTGATGTGAGGGGAAGTAAACATAGTGGAGGAGTCAGTGGTTGTAGGTGGATTTCGTGAGTGATTTTTGGACTGATAATTAGCTTAAGGTGCAGTTAGCATTCAGTCCAGTTAACTGGTTAGCATTGTTTTGTCAAGCAAGTCCAGGTTATGTTATGTTACGGTTAGCTTAAGGTATGGTTCACCTAGATTATGTTTGTAAGTCCAGGTAGCATATAATTAGCTTCTGGTCTATTTATCTTCTGGACCACTTAGAGTTAGCTTAAAGATCAGCCAGCTGGGAAAAGGCTTAAGAAACAGTTGGGGTTAGGGTAATAGCTCACTTTAGGGTTTGTTAGTAGATCCAGTTAGCATATCTCTGAGTCCATTTAAGTTCAAGGTTCGGTTAGCTGATAATGACCCTAAAATACAGCTAGCATGCGGTGACCTGCTGTTCATATCGTCCGACGGGCAGCCGCATGATGTTATACAGTTTACTTGTAAAGTTTCTAGAAAACAGGAGCATAAGTTTGTCCAGATGGTGTCTGTAATCAACAAGTCTTTTGACCAACAAAATATGGATTCATAAATAGTTCTATTTTTGTGTTCTATACAATTTATTGACTATTTCACAAGCAGTGAATTTATTATAGGTGTGTTGTGTTGCTGTCCGGTGTGTACAGCTGTATTGCAGCAAGGCAGTAACAGGCAGAGAGCAGCAGAACATCAGTTTACTGATTTTATTTCTCAGTGTAACATAAATCAAAGTTTCAGCACAGACAGACGAGTCACCATGACAACAAGCTGAAGTACAGGAACACAACGACAGCCGACCAACCACAGCACAGAGCCGGCGCTACAGTTACTGTCCATCACCTGTCCAGAGTCTTTCTGGCAGAGGGAAGCTGGACTCAGCTTGAAGCTGGTTTTAGTGGGTGGGGCCAAAGAGCATTGCTGCAGGTGAACAGCCAATCAGAGAGCTGCAGACTGTGACGTCAGTGTTTTGTTTTTTTTGGTTCACAGAAAGTGCTGAGGCTTATTGGTGATGTCTAAAGATATGCCACAAAGCAAACATGGGAGTTGTGGTTTCTGACAGCTTCCTCCTTCTCTGCAGTGTTTCACCTGATTTCAACAATAAGCGATCGATCAGGTACATTTTCACAATAGCAGCAAAAAGCAACAAACTGATACAAAAACTGAAAACCTGAACAACAAATATGCTCCTCGCCTGCGTCTTACTCCCTCATGTACTCCAGGATCTGATCGATCAGTAGCTGGGGGTCGTAGTTCAGGGCAGCTCTCCTCCGGCGCCTACGACTCCCATAATTCAGTTCGTTAGAGGTTGCCATGGTGTCAATACGTTTCATCCTCTGCAGCCCTGTGGCGTGGGGGCGGAGCTTCTGGTCCTGCCCTTCCTCTTCGTCCTCCAGCCTCTTCACCCTGAGGAGGGGGGGGTCGTTGCTAGGTGATGGGGGGGAAACGTCGTCAAGGGAACGGCGGGTTCTCCTGTGGGCGGGGCTAATGGGTTCAGCTGGTTTGACTGACAGGTCCCGTCTCATCCTACGGCCTGAGACAACCGGGGTACCGTTAGGGCCGATGCTGGACAGTATCCTAGCAACCAGACGCCTGGGCAGGAGACAGACAGCCAGGTGGTGAGACTTAGAGAACCAACACTTGAAGAACCGTTAGCTCGAGACTGATTCGTTGTCAACCGTTCAACTAAGCATCAGCTACTTTTAAATACCTTCTGATCCCACAAGGGGATGCAGACATGTTGAGAAAAAGCTGAAAGAAAACCAGGAAAACGTGGTACAGTGAGAAATGTTATCACTTGATAGTAAAACCAGTACAGTTGAAGTACTTTTAGAAAAAGTTCTAGTATTTTAAAAAATTTGATTATAATGAGAAAAGAATGTGCAAATTGAATGTAATATGTCTGTAGCTTATACATGTAGATTTATTTGTATTTGTTTTTGGATGCTGTAATAAGACTTTGCAAACATAAGGTTTTTACTTTGTTCTGTACTGTGGCTTCCTCACAGCATCTCGATGCACAGACACAGTAAATCATGACCAGAAGACCTGGTAGGTCTGCAGACAGCTGCTGAACTCTGACTCCATGTGACTGGTCACCTGAGCGTGTCCTGGTCTCTGCTCATCACTCGTCCATCCTGCTGGAGTCTCTCTTGTCTGGCTCTGTCCAGCAGAGTCTGGACCAGCCGAGGCTCCATCCTGAGCATCACAGGTAACGGGTGAGTGTTTCAGACCTCCACTTACTGACTGATGCTCGACATGAACCTGAACAGACTCACCTGTCCAGCAGGGCCTGAGCCAGCTGAGGCTCCACGAGGCCCCACCACAGCGCCGGGGGCCTCCCCATGCTCATCCCCCGTCCAGTCTCATCGTAGTCTGGAGGGTCAGGGCCCTGGAAGTCCCCTGTAGGCCCCTGATCATCCTCCTCATCCTCCTCCACCTCGACCACCTCCACGTCACCTGGACCAACCAATCCCGCGCTCTCTGCCTCACTCAGTAGGCGGAGCAGAGCGGCCAGATAGGCTGTGGATGCATTTGATTGGTTCTTAAGTTTTCTCTTTCTCTAAACAAACTTGCTGATGATGGAGAGAAGATATTAAACCTGTTAACACTGAAATATCAATGACACCAGTGAACAGGCACCGAACCCTGAGCCGAGGAAATCGGCAAGTTGGCTCGTTAAACACAAAAGTCTTTTATTTTGTTTCTTTTAAAAACAAGATTTCTGAAACAAAGTCATGAAGGAAGAAAAAGAAACTTTCCTTTGTTTGGTTGTGCTGTGTTGACAAAAGTCCTTGAGCTTAAAGTTCATGTAAACAGACCAGAACGACGTTTGGAAAAGTCCAAATAGGCAGAAAGACTTTTTTTTTTTTTTTTTTTTTTAATGGGAATTTTTCAAGTGAAAAATGAAATTTTTTTGGATATGTCGAGCCTTAATTTATAAATCAAAAAAGAAATCAGAAAAAAAATCACAAGTTGCAAAATATTCACAGTTATAACGAGACAAAGAGACCATTCAGGCTAAAGTCCCGACACGTTGTACTGGGTGAAAGGACGACTTGTTTCATGTTGTAAAGACGAGACATGTATAAAAAGACGAGTCATCTTGTAGTCGAGTCATGTTAAGAAGTTGTCGTGTAGGGGCGCCGCTACAGCTCACCTGGTGGAGCTGCCGTCCCAGGTGCAGGGCTACAGTCATGAGTTTGAATCCCACTCATGGCCCTGTCCCACACGTCCTCCTCCATTCTCCCCTACTTTCCTGTCTCTCTCTCTCTCACTAACACTATCACATAAAGGCACAAAGGCCAAAAAAATAACTTAAAAAAATAGAAAAAGGTCGAGTCATGTTTAAAAAGTCGAGTCATGTTGTAAAGTCCTCCTGGAACAATAAAAGCTCTTTTACCTGCTCGCTGCTCCTCTTCCTGTTCCCACCTTTGATCTTTTTCCACCAATCGCTGCAGAGCATGGTCCAAGCCCCTCCCCCTCCAGTCATCTGATTGGTAGTACAGGTTGTTGGCTCCGCCTCCTCTCTGTGCAGTGGGATACATTATCTGATCTTCATAGGGCAGCAGGTTACGAAGCTCTCTGCGCTGGCGTCGGACTCCGCCCACTGACAGATCCAGGCCACGCCCCCCGTCACGTGCTGCAGGTAGAGGCTGAGCAGAAGGTCGGAGGTCACAGCAGCAGAAACAGAAAGCTTCCCTTTTTGCAAGACTGGTTTCTTTTCCTATCAGGACCGTGTTTACTTTCTGGATGTTGTTGATCAACCTATCATGAGGAGGAATTCTCTTTTCACAAACCCCAGGAGGCTGTTCGGCCACACTGAGGCGCTCTGGAGCAGGTAGAGTTTAGAAGCTGCAGTTGACACAGTTAATCACAACATTTACATATTATTATCTTCTGCCCCCTCGTCTCCACCCTCAGGGTTCACCTGGTCCTGGACCAGTTAGGGTTAGCCCTCCCCCTCTCTGAGCCTGTTCGGAGCTGTTTGGGTTCCAGAGGTCTTCAGCTCACTGTGCTAACTGCTAGGAGATGACACATGCTGTGAATTTACGCTTTACAAATAGAGCAGAGTTGAACTGAATTCGTCCACTGCTGCAGGACTAAAACATTCCAGCAGGGGGCAGAAAACACCAGCTTGATGGGCTCTAGCTGACTCAGAGAAGAAGAAGAAGAAGAAGAAGAAGAAGAAGAAGAAGAAGAAGCCAAGACACACCACCATGTGACATCCTAAAGAGCAGAAAATCTACCAGTTCACACTAATCCCAAAGTCTGAACATGGACTCTACGTGTCACCTGTCCAGGTGAGGTCAGCCGGCAGGAAGAAGATGTCGAGCTCACAGGTGAGTTGACCTGCTGGCTGCGCTTACCTGCATGAGATTTGAAACGGAACCTGAACAGATCCAGATCTAGACGGTTTAATAAATCAGAAACGGTGTTTTAAAGATCTGGATCTGCTTGAACGTCGTCGGTGTGACTTCACAAAGTAACGAAAGCCTCTTCCTGTTTAATGAGGCGGAGCTTCAGGTGTGTTCAGTCTGTTCATGTTCAGGTTTTTGTGCTTTAATATTTGGGTCTTTGGTTTTGCGTGTTGATGCTTCTGTGTCAGACTGAAGTGATGAAGTGTGTCGGCGGCGCTCTGAGTAGAAATCAGACTTCAGGTGACAGATGTGCTTTCAGCAGCTGGATTAACTCCAGAGAACAAGTGGCCGTGTCCAGTGGATGAGCTGTGAGGATTATTGTGACATCAGCCTGCAGATCAATGACGCTGCTGCAGCTTGTATTTATGTCCTGTTTTTATAACTGTCATCGAGTAAACTGCTGTGTATCTGTTCTGCAGGTTCCTGATGGAACCAAACTTTTTCTTTTCAAAGAACAATAATTGTCAAAACATTTTAGCAGCAGATTGAGACGCTCCCACTGCACAACTACAGGACCTACAGTCAGCTAAGAAACCTGTTGGAACTTCGCGTCCCTCGTTCTGATGCTCCAAGACAAACTAAAAATGTCCTCAGAGTCTGTAAACATTTGTCTGGTTCTGCTGCCTCACAGTCAATGACACCAAGTGTGCACCGTCCGGATCAGCACATTTCTGGGACGTAGTTCAAGGTTGCATTCAGGTTACATTATGTTAGAATTTTGGTTTGGTTTGGTTAGATTCCGGTTAGATTATGATTGCATTTAGGTTTTCATTTAGTTCAGTTCTCACTTCATGAATGGAAGTCAAAAAAAGATGATGCTGGTGATGCTGTTGCCATGGAAACAAGCTATACTATTTCCAGTGATTTCACTGGTCCTGAATGGTCAGTGATGTAAATAGTAAATCAGCAGTCTGAATAGTGACTCAGCAGTCTGAACAGTTAGTCAGCAGTTTCTGGTAACTAGACATGAGACTGAGAGAAGAAGATAAAAACTTTCATGCAAGAAGCAGAATGTAGGAGGATGAAGGTGATGTGGTTAGGTTTAGGATTAAAGTCAGAGTTTAACTTAAAAGGGTTAGGTGGTTAGATTCTTGAATATCTGTCTCGATGCCTTCTCCTGCCTTATCCATCGACAAGACAGTTTGCGGTGGGTTAGGGTTAGGTGTGTCGGGCTTAAAGTCATGAAGGTGTCTCTATTTTAACCTGCTAGGTCTCCACGGTAACTGATGCTGTGGAGCTGGGTCTCCACGGTAACTGATGCTGTGGAGCTGGGTCTCCACGGTAACTGATGCTGTGGAGCTGGGTCTCCATGGTAACTGATGCTGTGGAGCTGGGTCTCCATGGTAACTGATGCTAACCTGGTCCAGGTCCTGCTCAGCATCTCCCTTTAACCAAACTGGTTCCTGATGATGACGTTTCTCTGTGAACCTGCTGATCTGGACGTTACTGAAACACTGAATGAAGCAGTTACAGCATCACACACTGGAGGCATCCTGTCGCCATGGAAACCTACATGTGTTCAGCTGCTGTTGCAGAGATCCCATAAGCATATTTCTGTGTTTGGTCCGTTTACTCTGCTGGTCCTGCAGCTGATAGATCACTGATCAGAACATTGATCATCTATTGGTATTTATCACAGAGAATGTCCAATCAGGAGCATTGATTCACTTTGATTTGTTGTTATTAAAGTGATTTCCTGCCTCATGGGACAGAGTCAGACCTGAATGAGCTTCAGCACGACATCAGGGTTAAATATGTGAGGTTTAA